ATCCTAAAATGTTTACAGTATTTGCTATATTCTCATAATAATACATTGGCAGAAACCTGGGGAACGTGTAGAAGTGTATTCTAAGGATCTTCGACCGAGGAGGGTAGAATATAATTCTGTGTTGGGCCTAGTTTATTAACACGGGCTCAGTTACTAGAGTCCACATTAGTGTACTGGCTCACACAGCTAGCAGTGTCTCTAGCGGCTCAGTCAGTTTATTGAAATGTGGACTCAACAGTGACCTGCATTTAATGAGGTGGAGATGCCGAAGCTTCCCTGGCAAGATATCAAGGGGGCGACTCAAAGGCTTAGGGAGACAGAAAGGTCGGGTTTTCCATGTGTGACCTGTGCACACGGAGGCACAGAACCGCCCCCCTTCACCCGAGAAGTGCATCGTGGGCCCGTGTCTGCACGGGGGGGGGGGGGGAGGGGGGGCGGCGGGGGGGCCACTCCGTGGCCGTTCTCCTTTGTAGTGTGTCCTGCTCCCTGCACCTGGGTTGGCAAACGCGTCTGTAAAGGACCAGGACTTCTCCCAGTTGTTGCATTTGTTCTTTAAATAACCGGGTTGTTACAATTGGAATCTAAATTTCTTTTACTTCATAAATTCCTTTATGGGGAAACTTTTTTCTTTAATACCATTTAGATTTTGTCTGTATTTTAAAGATGCTAAAGATTTAGCTATGCTTATAACCAGAGGAGGAGCCGTGAGGAAAGACGGGATGAAAAGCAGGTCTAATGATCACACTCATATGTGGGACCTAAGTAACAAAATAAACTGATGAACCGAGTGGATCCAGAGACAGGGCAGCCTGGGACAGAGTGCGGACCCTCAGAGGGAAGGCGGGAAGGTGGAGGGTGGGGGAGGTAATCAACCAGAGACCTGTGTGCACATACGCATCACCCATGGCCACGGACAGTAGGGAGCTGAAGGCTTGGGGCGGGGGACCGGGGCGGGCGGGAGGGGGTCAGTGGGGGAAACGGCACATATGTAATACTTTCAACAGTAAAGATTTATTAAAAAATAAATAAAACAAGACAGAACTTAGAAGACAGAAAATAAATAAATAAATAAATAAATAAATAAATAAATAAAACATCAATCTGACTTAGCCCCCCCAAAAAAAAAAGCAAGTCTAGGAGGTTGGAAGTCTGGGTTGCAAGGGAGGTGACAAAGGGCACACTTACCCAGCTGCTGTCCTTAGAGAGGAGAAGGGCATGGATTTCTCACCGGTTCTAGTTTAGCTTCTTCCCCTTCAAACGAAAAAAAATGAAGGAAAGAAGTCGGATGGCCCCTGGCTGGTGGGCTCAGTGGTTGGAGCACTGGGCTGCAGGCTTGACACCCCCCCCCCCCCCCCCGCAGGGCTCATGCGGGAGGCAACCATCCCTGTGTCTCTCTCACTCAATGTTTCCCTCCCTCCCTCCCTCCCTCCCTTCCACACTCTCTTAAAAAAATCAATGGAAAGAATATCCTCGGGTGAGGATTAAAAAAAAAAGAAAGAAGTGATGAACTCACATAGTTAAGTTTGCAGTAGAGGAAAAGGGCAGTCAAAGAATTTTATTTTCTATAAGAGCTTATGTGTTGGACTAGAGGATTCTGGAGAGGATGTGTAAAACCCTCTGGAGAACGAGGAAGGAGGTTGTGGAGAAACACGTGTTTTTATTACGGGCATTCAGTGATAGTAAATCATGTGTCTGGAAGGCGGAAGGAACCTCTGAAAACTTAGTGTTACAGCTAATCCAGCTCAGGCTGGATTCTGGCCTCGCGGTCCACCTACCTGTGCGCACTCGGCCGCAGCCTGCAGGTTTCTGACGGAGGCTGCGGTCTGGTAGAGTGTCTCCAAGGCAAGCACGCTGTTCACCTGATAGTGAACCAGAAAGAAACTGCTAACCCAGAGCGTCATCTCTGTCCTGCTGGAGACCTGCAGTGAATGCTCAGTGTTTTCAGATATTGTTAGAACTCGGCACTCTTAAAAAAAGTCTCCCCACCATTTTAGGGGTGTCAGATACCATTGATTTCAAATCAGGAAGGTTGGTAGCCTGTTTTTGCCTGTTTAGGGAAAAAGACACCCTAATATGGTTATATATGAACATTTTATTGTAAAAAGTGGAGTTGGCTGAAAATCTGAGGAGTTAGCTTTCTTCTGTCACTTAAAATTTTATTTCAAAATAATTTCAAGTGTACAAAAAAGTTGAAAGAATAGACTTAAACAAAGAACTTCTGTATGTTTTTTTCAGACTTACCAATTGATGACATTTTGCTACAATTGCTTTATCATTCTATAACATGTAGGGATGTACACACACTATTCCCTGGTCAGTTTTGTTTTATCTTTGTAATCATAATCTAGGACAGTCCTTTCAGGATATAGATGAGAATATCGAAGTTCAGAGGAATTAAATGAGTTAACTTAGGTCTTGCCTAGGAGCTGGGACTCAGTACCCGAGTCCTCTGTCCCAATCTATGTTCTTTTTCTGCTTTGCTATCTTTTACTTGACTCTCCCGATGAATAGGCATTCTCTACAGAGAGAATGTCCGCAGTCATCAGTGCTCCAACTTTTTAGTACCAAGACAATTTTCATGCTTAAAACCGTTGAAGATGATGAGTATGTTGACTCTCTTTTTGTGGTGATGGCATACACATGTTGAAATTTATTGTACACTTTAAATATGTGCAGCTTATTGTATGCCAATTGTACCGCAATAAAACTTTATAAAATTAAGGACCCCAAAGAGCTTTTTTGTTAATATGGGTTATATCTATCAGTATTTATCAAACTAGATATTAAAATGTAGGGACTTTTAAATTATTATCTATCTATATATATATAAAAGCCTAAGTGACTGTTATGACCAGACGACTGGCCAGTAGCTATGATGTGCACTGACCACCAGGGGTGTGGTTAGTGCATTCTCACAGCCAACCTCCCACGGTCCCTCCCCCTGCTGGCCGGCCTGATCGGGACTGGGCGAGAAGACCGAGGGACCCCACTCATGTACGAATTCGTGCACCAGGCCTCTAGTTTTAAAATAATACTAAACTTAATATTAACATTTTTCATAGGTATAGTTACAAAAAAAAAAGAGTTTAGAAGTAAGGCGTGTGTTTTCCATTTCTTTGCGTCTCTTTAACATCTGCTTTGTGTGTTTAGTCTGTCACAATATGTTGTTTGAGTTTGAAGCATATGAAGAAACTTCGCTTCACATTTATATGCCCTTAAGAGGAGGAACCTTTGCTAGTGTTTTTCAGATAATGGATATTCGTCTTTGATTTGATATCAGATCTTGACAAGTGGTTGTCTCTTAAAGGTTCTTGCAATGTAGAATCTGAAACAATGAACTTTTTGTATTCTGTTATATTAAAAGCCATGGGTTTATTTGCACTTGGAATGGATCTTACCTGATAGAATTAGTCTGCCTTTTATGTATAGATTAGAGGCCTGGTGCACGAAATTTGTGCACTTGGGGGGTGTCCCTCAGCCCGGCCTGTGCCCTCTGGCAGTCCAGGAGCCCCCAGGGGATGTCTGACTGCCCTGGAGGCAGGAGAGGCTCCCGCCACTGCCGCTGCACTCGCCAGCCATGAGCCTGGCTTCTGGCTGAGCGGTGCTCCCCTTATGGGAGCACATTGACCACCAGGGGGCAGCTCCTGTGTTGAGTGTCTGCCTTCTGATGGTCAGTGCGTGTCATAGCAACCGGTCATTCTGCTGTCCAGTTGATTTACACATTAGCCTTTTATTATATAGGCTATTACTACTTAATTGGTACTTTTAATATTTAGTCACTTGTCTTTTCTGTTAAATGCCCCAATTTCTCAAAAATAGAAATTGGGCCCAGCCAGCATTGCTCCGTGATTGAACATTGACCTACGAACCAGGAGGTCACGGTTCAATTCCTGGTCAGGGCACATGCCCAGGTTGCGGACTCAGTCCCCCACTGTGGGACTTGCAGGAGGCAACCAATCAATGATTCTCTCTCATCATTGATATCTCTCTCTCTCTCTTTCTCTCTCTCTCTCTCCCCCTCCCTTCTTCTCTCCCCCCTTCTTCTCTGAAATCAATAAAAATATATTTTAAAAAAATAGAAACCAGCCCCTATGTTTTCCCATTTTACTTTTATAGGAGAACCAAGGTATCTAGACTTGTTTCCATTGTACTATGTACATTGCTTTTTGTTTTGAACTTAATTTTTCACTCTTTTACTGAAATAGACTCTCTGAGTAGACTGCAGTTATGATCAAAACAAAAAAAGACACAAAACATTTATTCTGAAGGCTGCTGCTCCTGCAAGGGAGTTTGCCTGCTTTTGCTGGGGAGCTTTGAGGAGGGGATCTAGGTTAGTAGCAGTGAATGAAGACGGGGGTGAGCCTCTGTCAGACATGCTCACGACTGACGCTGTGGGGGGAGGCGGCGGTCCTGCCGTGGGGGGGGGGGGTAACAGTGCCGCCCACATCTGACAACATCCTTCTCCAGGATGGGGGAGGAGATGGACAATCGTGGGGTTTGCCAAAGGGTAAGAAATATCAGCAGAAAAATGTATATGTAAGCACCATCACTAGTCTTTCAAAGTTTATTTTGGAAATGATAGGCTATTGTGTGCATTCTTTTGGGGCTCCTAATGCTTTTCATACTAAATGTAAATTACTTTCCAAGAAGTTTGGTGTATAGTGGAAGACAGAGGGAAAGACAGAGAGAAACATCGACGTGAGAGACATACATTGATTGGTTGCCTCCTGCACGAGCCCCGACCAGGGCCTGGGCCAGGGAGGAGCCTGCAACCGAGGTACATGCCCTTGACCGGAACCAAACCCGGAACCTTTCAGTCCACAGGCCGATGGTCTGCCTACTGAGCCACACCAGCCAGGGTTTATACATTTTCTAAAAAGTTTTTGTCAAAGGCACTAGCAGGTATGATTGTTTTATATTGTACTAGGTTTCCTACAGAAACTCAACTCCAGTGGGGAAACTGGTACGTTGTAACTTTTGTTCCATGTTTCTATTTGCAGGGTCTCCAACTGCATTTCTTGAAGAGAAAATGGCCTTCCAGGGGTATCAGAACAACCAGAACTGGCCAGAAAACACAAACTTTTACTTTGAACCCGAGCAAGTGGTGAATCCTATCCAGACTGGTAAGTGCAGGCTTGCCTGTGACTGCTGAGTGCAAACTAGACATCAGCCTGAGAAAGCCACCGCCACCCCTCAGATCAGACATTTAGCCTCAATACAGCTCGGGAAGTAAAGCAAAGTGCAGCTGCAGCCCTGGACATGGAAGTGACCCTCCTCTCGGGGCCTCTCTCCGTCTTAGGCACATGCCCTCTGGCTCTCTCCCCTGCAAAACCTGTTTTGAATAAAGTAACTGAAATTCATATTCATTGAAGTTTAATTCTTCTAAAAGGAAGTATTACAGTAATAATAGCACACTTTTTCCTTTTCATTGAATGTATTGGGGTGAGTCTGGTTAACAAAATTATACAGGTCTCAAGTGCACAGTCCACACACAGCTGTACACTGTTGTGTGTTCACCACCAAGTCAGGTCTCCGTCCATCAGTCACCATTTCATAGCACCATTTGTTGATGCCTATTTTGCGCCAGGCATAGTGCTACAGCGTGTGTGTGTGTGTGTGTGTGTGTGTGTGTGTGTGTGTGTGTATTATGTGTGTTTCTTACCTAACTCTGCCAAATATATATTATACTCGTTTGACAGAAGAGAAAAACCAAGACTCAGACCCACTTTCTATAAAATTCATAGTAATCTGTGGAGTCAGAAGGCCTATCTGAGCGGGAAGCGGTGAGGAGCAGATTGCAGGAGGGCCTCCACGTGGAAGCCTCAGTGCCTCCAGGCCAAGTGACCTGGCTGAGCGCTCACGTTGTCTCCACTGAGATGTGGCTTTTTTTGCTCTTGGACTTACAAGGGACACAGAGCTGGGTTCAAATTAGTGAATATTTATTGATTTCTTACATTATCTCAATTTATTGAACTTACTGTTGACAACACACGTATAACTATCAGCACTCACTGTGGGGTAGTAGGGAACGCTGTCTGTGTAGCAGTGTTCACTGGGGCTGAGTTTTCAATCCCTTTCCCTCCAGATCCCTACAAGCTGCACTGCGGAGACGGCCTGGACGACCTGCTCTTCTTTCCCAGCGGAGCTCACAGCGCTCCCGCACTGACGCGGCAGAGGGACCCTCTGAGAGACAGCTACGGTACGGCTCCTCCCGCCGGGCTGGCTGCTCCCTTCAGACAGTTACCCTGGTCTTCACCCACCACCTTTGACGTTCACTAGGCACAGCCTGCTTAGGGGCTGTGGCTGGGACAGGCACTTTCTAGACCAACCGCAGGAGAGAATTCAGTTGGGCTTTCTGGGCTGCTCACCTCACGTGATGGGATCTTGAATTCTATGTCCTACGGCCAGATTCTGCCTCCACATTTTAGTGCCTCATTTAATGGCCTTGGGCAAGTTTTGTTTATCTGTAACTTTAGTTTCTTTTATCTAATAAGGGGCCAACAGTAGTTCCTACATTAAAGATGAGCTAAGATCAAAAAAAATTATGTAAAAGCATTTTGCATATTGTTCATTACATAGTAAACATGAAACAGATCTTAGTTATGAATTGGGAGTATCCTCATTTATGATGCTGCATAACTTTACACAGAACTTTACTTCTCACCTTGGGTTTCGGTGGGACTATTTAACAAGAAGACAGATGAACAAGAGCAGAATCGCTTACTAATGCGCGTAGCGTTCATCAGGCAGGAGAAAAGCAACGCAAGATGGTTTCTTAGAATTTCTGTTTCTGCAGCATCTTCAGTAAGAGCATTAAGTTTGTAGAGAAATGACAGGAAAAAGGAAGCCATTTTAGACTGAAGGTGGCAGCCTGAGGGGCAGGGTGCGGAGGGAACTCATGGTTTGCCTGCAGCTTGCTCTGAGCTCCCTCTGGGCTGGGAAGAGTTTAATCTCAGTAAAATCTCAGGCAGAAATGGGGTGGGGGGGGCTTTCTAGGTTTGCTGCTGCTTAATTACCTTCAACTCAAACTAATTTTTCAGTGAAAAAGACATATTTGGGGTGACAGATTCTGGTTCCCTTCACTGCCCAGCATCAGTGAGTCCCACTTCAGACAGTGCTTGTGATTCTGTCTTTGTAAAGATCCTGGCTAATGGCCCTGGCCGGTGTGGCTCAGTGGATAGAGCGTCGGCCTGCGGACTGGGGGGTCCCGGGTTCGATTCCCGTCGAGGGCATGTACCTGGGTTGCGGGCACATCCCCAGTGGGGGGTGTGCAGGAGGCAGCTGATCGATGTTTCTCTCTCATCGATGTTTCTAACTCTCTATACCTCTCCCTTCCTCTTTGTAAAAAATCAATAAAATATATTTTAAAAAAGAAAAAAATGATCCTGGCTAACAATATGTTTCATTAGGTTTTTCTTTGGACTCTTGGGAGAAGGATGTTAAATGAGTTGACCTTGATGTTACCCATCTAGTCTCCTGATACTTGGATTTTGGCTTTGACTCCTGTTGTCCCTAGTTCACTAGTTAGTGAGTCATTTAGATGCATTGACTTCTTTCCTCACAGCATCTTTCTTCTCTCCTTTTGTGCACCCTCGCTTTTCCCCCAATGTAACCCCTATCACTCCACACCCAGCCACCTCAGTCACCTCCTGACTGAATTCCTGCTGCCTTTTAAAATCCATCCTGATTAGACCTGGACGACTGGCCCCTCTGCGTCCTGTTCTGTTTGTCATCTCGTTTTCATGAGTAAGACTCAAGGTGCCTTGTTTGTTTTCCCTGCTCAGGCCTAACCCTCTCTGGCTTTCCAGATCCCCTGTTCTCTCTGACCGTCTTTCCCTGGCTGATACGCAAGGTGTGCAGCATTGAATCAGACTGACCTCATAGTGCCAGACACACCTTGTCCTGGTGGCCTCTCCGTACTGCTTTTTTGCTCATTGTTCTCTGTCCTTGACATTGACTCCTCTCTCCTCTTCTTGCTCTTGCTTCTCCTCGGAAGCCTTCTGTGGCTATTCTGGTCCTCGTGGTTGATTTTAAACTCTGATAGCGCCTCGTTCATACTATATCTTCTGTATTATTTGATCTATGTCAAAGGTCTTGCCTCTCTAGCTAAACTGTAATAATGTTCATGGCAAGGGATTATTAAATGCACGATTTTTTAAAAATATATATATTTTATTGATTTTTTACAGAGAGAATGGGAGAGGGATAGAGAGTTAGAAACATCTATGAGAGAGAAACATCGATCAGCTGCCTCCTGCACACTCCTATTGGGGATGTGCCCGCAACCAACGTACATGCCCTTGACCGGAATTGAACCTGGGACCCTTGAGTCCACAGGCTGACGCTCTATCCACTGAGCCAAACCGGTTAGGGCTTAAATGCACTATTAAGTCTGGCAGTGGACAGCATAATAATAATCTTTTGACATTATCTAGTTCTTAATAATTTACAAAGCATTTCCACAAAATTGTTTCTAACTTTGAAAAAGGAGGTGTGAACTCTTTTTATGGGTGAGAAAATTAAGACCCTCGATTCTTTACTATACATTATGTTGTATCAGTTGTGATGTTGAATCTTTGAAACACACGCTGGGAGGTTGACTCATAGAACTCCAGGGGTCTGGTGACACTGCACAGCCTGCTCATTAGCCAGAAAGCTAGAGAATGTCAGCAGCGTTTACCCAGAACTGTCTGCTTCGTTTTCACTGGCATGTTCCCTTAGGTCTGCGTGCTCATGGCAGTATAGAAAGCTTGCTTCTTCCCCCATGTTGACATGTTTGTTTGTGTTTCACTATTAGGTCACCTTCCTTGCGACACATTGACTCCTGAAGCAGTGGTACCTCAGGGCTGGCCTGTGGAAGCCCCGAACTCCCCCCAGGCGGGGGTCTTCATTTCCCCAGAGGCCACACCACCTCTGCAACCCACAGCAGGTAAGGATTAGAACCCCTCTTTGTCGGTGTGTGGTTGCAGTATTTCTTAGCAGCATATAACAGTGTAGACAAAAATGTCAGATTTGTCACAAATATTTTTAAACTTATATTACTGATTTCACAGCTAGAGAAATGTAGGTGTAGTTGAGATATAAGACTTGGGGTTAATGGGCAAAGAAAATCCCTTTTTAATTTGGTGCAGATTTCAGATTCTAGGGCCCACATTCCCTTTCTGACAGTAATTATAAACCTGTATGTTTTTTTAAACATTGGATGTTTTTCTTCTTTGCCTTTTTTCCTCCATTATTTGTTCTCCCAATAGCCTCTTCTTTTATGTATTGGGACTGTCAGAGTAGGCACAAATGCATTAACTGGCCAGCTTCTTAGTTATGTTTGGGGTGTTAGGGTCACAAAAGCCAGATATTCCTGTGCTCTGAGAAAGTGAGTTTTGAATGCAGAACTCTGAGCAGACTGTGATGGCTCCTAAATGTCCAACGTATTTCCCTTAGTGCCAGCCGGGGAGAGAGAAATGGCATCAGAAGAGAGGACATCGACCAAAGCATCGGAAACGATGATGGGACTGAAGGCTGCTGACATGGCACCATCTAGAGAAACAGAGATGGCCCTGGCTCAGGACATGGTGCCAGTCACAGAAACAGAGGTGGCACTGGCCACAAACGTGGCATCACCTACCAAAGAAGATGTGTCATTTGCCAAGAACATGGACTCACCCATTGAGTCAGATGTGTCTGCAGTCACGGACGTGGTACTGCCTATAGAAGCAAAGGAAACCCCAGCCAAGGGTGCAGTGCTCTTCAGAGACACAGAGAGGGCACCACCCATGGAAATGGACGCGGCTCCAGCTGCAGGCGTGGTGTCACTCACAGAAAGGGAGATGGCATTGGCTAAGGACATTGCATCACCCACAGCCAAGGAGTTGGCCTTGTCCTCGGGAACAGAGGTGGCCCCAGGCAAGGACATGGCTCCGCCCCCAGAAACAGAGGTGGCCCCGGTCAAGATCATGGCTCCGCCCCCGGAAACAGAGGTGGCCCCGGTCAAGGACATGGCTCCGCCTCCGGAAACAGAGGTGGCCCCAGGCAAGGACATGGCTCCGCCCCCAGAAACAGAGGTGGCCCCGGTCAAGATCATGGCTCTGCCCCCGGAAACAGAGGTGGCCCCGGTCAAGATCATGGCTCCGCCCCCGGAAACAGAGGTGGCCCCGGTCAAGGATATGGCTCCGCCCCCAGAAACAGAGGTGGCCCCGGTCAAGGACATGGCTCCGCCCCCAGAAACAGAGGTGGCCCCGGGCAAGGATGTGCCTCTGCTTCCAGAACCAGAGCCATCCCTGGCTAAGGATGTTGCACCACCTTCAGAAACAGAGGTGGCCCCAGTTCCGGCGAAGGACATGGGAACTGTACGGACACCAGGAAAGCCAAGTGAGGGCCCCCAGTTCGCATCTCTCCGGAACGAGGGGCCTTCAGCTGTGCCTGCTGCCACGGCTTCCCCAGGTGCGGACTCTCATGTGCTCTCAGTATTTCTGTCCACCAGGGGGCAGTCTCCATTGGGGCCAGGGAAAATAGTGCTTTGCAGATCCCTACACATCCCTGCTCTCCCAGACAGCTCCTTCTCACCTCACCTCCTCCAACACCTTCTTCATCCCCACCCTCTGCCGAGCTTGTTCCCCCTATAGGTCAGTGAGCGGTGAGGGGGGCATCACAGCCTCACTCCTCATCTGCCTGCCTGGCTGCTTGTGTCTGTGTCCAGAGACTCCGCCCCTCCTGTTCCTGGCAGTAAGCATCCCTGCTTCTGCTTAAGGCCACCTCTCTATTTTGTACTAGATCCCATCTCTTCTTGTGTATTGCTCTGGTATTCTCATTCTCTCTCTCTCTCTCTCTCTCTCTCTCTCTCTCTCTCTCTCTCTCTTTTAATCCTCACCCAAGGATATGTTTCTATTGATGTCTTTAGTGAGAGAGGAAGGAGGGGAGAGAGAAAGATGAGAGAAACATTGATGTGAGAGAAACATCAATTGGTTGTTTGCCTCCCCTGTGTGCCCGACTGGGGATTATTGAGATGATCAACCAGAGATGAACCCCCAGCCTCTGGTGCCCAGGACAGCGCTCTGGGCAAGCGAGCACCCCGCCAGGCGCTCTCCCTTCCTCTCAGCAGTGCTTTCCCTCCAGTGGGCCCTGCCCACCAGCATGCAAGCATTTGTTATTGTCCCATTTTAAAAACAAAACAAACAAGCCCCTCCAATTCCATCTCCCCCCCACCCCCTCCCTGCTGCCCTCACTGCAGCCCCTCAGTCCTCAAACGCTCCTCCGTCCCCAGCTCTGGAAGTGGAGAAATAGCTGAGTCGTGCTTCTTGGAAACCTGTGTGATTTTACTGTCACCTTTAGAGCCAGTCACAGCCGTGGGCCAAACGTCCGCCTTGCCACCAGATGAGGCATCTGTGCCAGAGAAACTAGAGCAAAGGCAGCCGCTCAGCCGTCAGCCTCCGGAGCCGCCTGCAGCGCCCTCAGGTGGGTCGGGAACCACTGCCCTGGGAGTGGTGGGTGCGGCCGTGGCCTTGCCCCTGGTCGCAGGTGGTGATCAGCAGACCGTTGATGAGGTCAGTTCTCTTAGATTTTGTCTTGTTTGGGCAAAGAGTCAGCTTGTTATCTACTTTTCAGTGATCACCACGCCAACCCAGGACACCTAATGCAGGTCAGCTGTTCCCCCTTCTGTCCCGTGTGGTCGCAGGCAGGTTACTGAACGGCCCTCAGCTTGCCCCGCTGTGAGAGGAGTGTGCTGGTTCAGTTCCATGAACCCCCGGTGACAGTGTCACAGCCCGGCCGCATGGGCACCGCCCGGGAGCTCGTCAGAAACGCGTGATCTTGGCTCCACCTCAGCCTCCCGAGTTTGCAGATAATTCTTACGCCTTACCTGTGAGGGGCCCTGCTCCCGGAGGCTTCCTGACTTCAAGTCCGTTACTTTCTATTGTGAGCCAGAGACGTGCATAGTTTATCATCTTGAGTCTCTGCTTGCTTTCCCATGATGGTTAGAATGTGACCTGGAGGGCAGGAACTATGATTTATTTCCTTTACAGTCCTGTGCTTTGCACACTGAAGAGCCAGCACCAAGAAGTACCACAATTAAGTTTAGGGTTTTTGTTTGTTTGTTTTTTAATATATTTTATTGATTTTTTTACAGAGAGGAAGGGAGAGAGATAGACAGTTAGAAACATTGATGAGAGAGAAACATCGGTCAGCTGCCTCCAGCACGCCCCCTACTGGGGATGTGCGCGCAACCCAGGTACATGCTATTGACCGGAATCGTACCTGGGACCCTTTAGTCCCCAGGCCGACGCTCTATCCAGTGAGCCAAACCAGCTAGGGCAAGTTTAAGTTTTTTTTAAGATGTCATTTTAGTGACTCGCATATCAATAAAGATTTATCAAGTTCTTAATATCCACAAAATACACCATGCTGAAGCATAGAGGTAGCTAAGTCGGGGCCCTTGCCCTTCCATCGTTTTATTACAGCCTGGATGGAAAGAGAAGTCCCCAGGCATGAACACTGAAACCAAAGATCTATGTAATTGAATTAGTTTAAGGGATGGCACCAAATACTAGTAGCTACTGATTAATTTCCAAGTTAAATGTTATAAATGCTGTAGGGTATGAAAGCCTAGCAATTTTTTTAAGAGAAGCAATTATTGATCTGAGGTATTTAATAAAGGGTAAGATTTGGAGGAATTGGGTGGGTAAGTATTTGAATATTCTCTGGAGGCATTTCATGGGTCAGACCTGACAAGAGCTGTCCGAGACCCGCTCTTCATGGGCCTTTCTAGGACTCAGATCCTTGCAGCCGTGACGTGGAGGCAGGCGGCTGGAGCAGTGACTCCTGGAACACTTCCAAGGTGTTTCTCCCAGTCGTTTTCAGTCATCACCCTGCTTGGCATTATGTATCATTCTCTGACTTTGGGGAAGGACATTTAGGAACAGAAATTGAAATCTAACACATTTGTCTTTTAAAATAGGAGGTTCTGGTTCTGGAACGATGAGATTATTTCTCTGGCCCAAATACGAATTCAGTATCTTTTCCTTTTCCTTTTCTTCTTCTTTTTTTAGTAGTATAAGTCTGGTCTGTTTCCCAGAATTTATCTGGTTAGTTTGATAACTGATTAGTATAATATTGGTGACAGACTCTTAGAATTATAAATTCAAATGCCACCAAAAAGAAACAGGAGTTTACCATTTTATTGCAGAACTGGGAATTATGTGCCTAACAAAAATAATGACAAATATATACCAGTATCAGATGAGAGTCATAGGCAGTAAATGCTTATTATAGGGGTTAGGAAATCTCTGAATTTCTTTTCTCCAGTTTTAAATACTTTGTAAATATGTTTGAAAAAAACATTTAAGATGATGATCTTTGTTAAATATTTGCTAATCCCAGTTAAGGGTGAGAAATATTTCAGGAAAAAAACTTTTCCTAAATGAATTATGATGTGGGTTGGCGAAAATAGACTACTTAAATGAGCCAATAAGTGGACTTTTTAAGAAACAATAACAAGGAGTTTTCTGTTTGGAATCTTGGCCATCTTCGTGTATTGCAGGTACCCTTCCCACACCAGCCAAACAAGTGTGCAGACCCAGGGACCGCAGGGCCGCCCGGCCCCGGCCCGCCAGGGTCCCTCCTGAGCTGCTGGGAGGCTCTTCACGGAAGACTCTCGATCCCGGGCTGGGCCCCTGCTCCGTGCCGGAGCCGGGCTGGGTCTCGGGCTCATTTCCCTGTGGTGAGCCGGGGAGCCAAAGGAAAACCACTCCTGCTGCCTTCCCTGAGACACAGAGGGAGCCTGGCAGGGAGGCCTGGGAGGCAGAGAGCATAGCGATGATGAAGAAGAAAAAGAAGAGACCAAAGCAAAAGCGGTGCTCCCCACCCCGGGGCGGGGGGCCCTGGGGTGACGACAGTGCACGGGGGGCTGACGGCCGTCCTGTGGCAGCTGACCCACAGAAACCAGGTGTCCACCCCAGCCAGCCTGCCACTGTGGGCGGACAGCATGGACCGGCCTCCAGGGAAAGCCCGGAAGAGGATGGTGGAGTTGACACTGGGACAGCCAAACCGGCCGCCGAGAGCTTGGTCTCAGAAAGCCCCAGGGTTCCTTCCTGTCCTTGGGAAGAACCCCCTAAAGCCGCAGTGAATTCTCAGCTCAAGCTGAGCAGAGAGGCAGAGGTCAAAGGTAACAAGTCAGAACCACAGAGCCAAGACAGGAAATCTCTGCAGCAGGGTGGGTACAAACCACAGACTGCTCCCCACCTGGCGACCCCTCTCAGACCAGAGGGGTCCCTGCCGGAAGTTTCTGCACACAAAATAGAAGCTCCCTGGGAGGTCAGAGCCCAGGAGGGTTGCTTTCCTGTCTCGGACCAAGAGGCTCCGGGGCCAGTTGTAAAACCCACAGCAGCAAAAGAGCTGCCTAATCCGACACGCACTTTGACAGCAAATAATCCACTGGAAAGCAGCCTGAAAGAAGGGAGTGACGGAAGAGCAGTGCCCGCGCTGCAGACTGACAAACAGGAAGAGTTCTCTGAAGCAGCTGAGGATGTTAAGGAACTTCACAAGGAAGTGTTTCCCACGCAAGGACAAGAGATGAGCATCTTAGCTTCGGAGCAGCTGCCACGGGGCAAGATTCAGGTTCCTGGGCCCGGGAATGAACCACCTAAGAGAACAGCAGGTGATGGCAAGAGCAGGAAGGGAAGGGGGAGTTCTGGGAAAGTGAGAGCGAGTTCTGGGAAGGCAAAAGCAAGGGCTGAGCTGCCAGTCCTTCCCGACAGCCAGGGAGAGGGCAGAGCTGCCCGGGGGCCAAGTGCGCCAGCCCCTGAAGCAGAAAGAGCGCTTGCTGGGGATGGGAGGGAGGAGCCGAGGCTGGATTCTTCCCAGCAGCTGGGGGTCAGGGCTGCTCTCCCTGAGGCAGGGCTCGTGGGGGGGCCTAAGGAGACTGGCCCCAGTGTGGCCAGCACCTTGCAGATGTTGACTCCTTTGGAAACTAGGTCAGGTATGACTCAGACGCCCAGCACCACAGCAGACAGAGGAGCTGTGGCCATAGATCTGGATGCCAGTAACCAGAGCAAAGAAGGAAAGTGTCCGTGGATGGATCGCGAGGCAGCTCCCAGGGTTTCTGAAAAGCCTAGAAAAAGGAGCAGTGAAGGCAAAAATAAAAAGTTTAAAAATAATTACTCTGCACAGCTTGCTAGGGTGGAGAGCAAGGAAGAAGTCCTCAGCCCACCTTCCATAGGGAAGGATGGAGGTGCTGGCACTCCCCATCAAAACAAAGACTTAGGACTCCCTTTCCCCATCAGCCACGAGCCTTTGTTCTCACCGACATCAAATACACCCCCAGTGGAGGTGGTTGACGAAAAGGCTAGAAATATTGAGGTTAATTCTTTTGAGCTCGGGGCTCTGGGTGGGAACAAAACAAGTACAGCCAAGGACGCTGCTGTTATTGAAGTAGCTACCCAGGTGATGGCTGTGAGCTGCCAAGACCAAAGCCAGGGGGCGGGACTTGTCCCTTCAGTCCCGCCCGCAGAGCGTAAGACAGATGCAGCCCAGGGGCCCACTGCAGCGAGGGACAGCCCGAGCAAAAGGAGTAATGACGGGAAAAGCAAGAAGGTGAAAAATAGCTTTTCTGAGAAGCACATTTTGGGGAATAAGACAGATGCAACAGAAAGACTTGTTCCCATGGAAGCCACAGGAGACCACAGAATTGAAGGAATGGGCTATGTGGATGAAAACAGAAACATTACATTTACCTGCCCCCAAACACCATCTGAGGCCATGAGTACGCCAGCCCCTCCAGAGGCTCTGCATTCAGCAGCCTGTGAAAAGCTGCCCACTCCTAGTCCTCAATTAGTAAAGGGAGGTGAAGCCTTTACAGGCACCTTGGCAGAAAGTAGGCAAGGGACAGCTCTGGCCCAGATCTCCGAATGGTCAGTGGTGGGTCATTGCAGCAAAGATGGCGTCCCAGAGCAGGAAAGAGCCACAGCCGCCTCTGCTGCCAGGCCCTGTGCAAGCCCAGAAGGAGGTGCCCTGACCCTCCCAGCAGCCACAGAAACAGGGCAGCGCCCTGGGGACCGCTGTCCTGAGCATAAAGAGCAGCTTGCTGAGCCCATGGAGAACAAAGCAGGGGTAGACGGAGGGCATGCAGGGGGAGAATCTGAGTCCGTGCCCAGGGGGGCATCTAAGCGTCCAGCAGAGGAAATCACAGAACCAGGCAAGGGCCCCCGTCCTGCAGTGCCCACAGCAGACCAGAGCCCACCACCTGAGCGCGGAGGCCCCGGGGTGCGAGCCGGTGGGAGTCCTGTCCCAGCATCTCCAGTGAACAGAGAGGGAGAGGCTGGGGAGGGTTCTGCTTCCTGTCATACTGCCGACTTCCCGGGAGACAGACCACAAAAGCCCCTTTGCTATGAGGACCAACATGCTGAAGGCAGAGAGTCCAGGGGCCCCACTAGTTTGAATAAGGAGATGGAGATGACTCTTTCGACTCCAAAAAGTGAAAAGGATAAATGGGAAGGAAGTAGCCTGGCTCCTAAAATCACAGAATCAGCAGATGCTCCCTTGCCAGCACCAGAACTCCAGTCGGATTTCTTCGATGGCCAGCTTGGCGCCGCCCCCTCGAGTGCGGTAGAGAAGTTAGTAGTGACTGCCTGCCAGGGGCTTCAGCTCCCAGAACCCAAAGATAAGGTCTCGGAGGCACCTGAGAAAATGACAGAAAAATCTGAACCGAAGGCTCTGGGCGAAGGGAAGAAGGAAGAAAAAAGAGTGGCAGAGCCAATGAAAGGCTACATGAGACCCACCAAGTCCCGAGGACTTGCTCCACTTCCGCCAAAGTCTGCTGCAGTCCAGGAGCGCGAGAGACCCAAGCACGCCACGCCCAGCGGTAGGAGCCTGCCAGGCGCTGTGTGTGTGCTTGTGGCTTTGAGTCCGCATCAGAGAGGCACAGAGCTTGTGCTTTGGTTCCATCCAGACTTTAATTCTCCTTGTTAATAATCAGTGATTTGTTGGCATGAAAAACGTATGACTTCTAATTATGTGTTTTCTGCAGCCCAGGCATGTCTTGTGCCCAGCTTGAGGAGGTGGTGACTTCGTTGCATGCCTTTTTACCCAGCAAGGAACCTTGAGTTTTAGGTGGAGGTGAATTTCAAACAATGAATTGCTTAGCAGAAGGCTATCACTATCCACCATCCTTAATTTTTTTTTTAAAGTGTGCCTTGTATGTGTAAAAGTTCCAGCCACATTTAATCATTTTGTATAAGGAGGAGAAAGCATTTTACATCCATTTATTCTTATACTATTACTTACTTACTAATTATTGTTACTGTCTAGTTATTGTGTGGTAGCAACTGTGAACCTGCTTGTACCACCCCCCCCCCCCCAGCCCCCGGGTGTGTGTCTCTCTCTCTCTCTCTCTTTCTCTCTCTCTCAGGGAAATGGGTCGCTTGTGCTTCCAGGAGAGACCAGGGGGGGACCTCGCGAGGCAGCCCGTCATTCACGGTCCACTGCTTACAGCCGCTGGCCTGCAGTTGCCTGTGGGGTAGAGCTTTGGGCTTAGACTGTGTCCATCAAACAGTCTACATCCACGGGCAGGTCTATGAAACTTGCCCATGTGGGATTCCTCATAATTTTGTCATTTTTGGCTCTAATCAATCAAGTAATTCACATGAGATTAAGGAAGATGATCCCTTAAAGATTTAGAAATGTTATCTGCCCCCCCAGCCCCCCATACACACACACCCTCAAAAAGTATACATCTAACAACCCTGACTTCCCTGAGCCTAACCTCCAAAAATTGGTTCCTGGCCTTTGAAGGTTTTCACAGCCCACAGATCTGTTTCTCAGTCCCTGTCTCCCACTGTGCACACTGCAGCTGCTGACTCCAGAGATGAAGGCGCCACTTGGCCGTGGCAGCCAGCTGGGCTTGGGGAGGCTGCGCCAGGGATGGGGCATGCTGTGCGCTTGTTTGGGCGAAGCGTGTGCTGTGCATGCGCTTGTTCCCAGTGGGGAGCGCTGTGTGAGCGCAGGATGCTGGCGGTGGCTCTTCGCGTAAGATCTGCTCATCTTCTCTGTGTTTATCTTCTGTTAGCTCTCCTGTTGCCAGTGCAGAAAAGGAAGTGGAATGCAGGAGCTTCCCGCTTCTGTTCAGGTTTCCAGTGTTCTGTCCAGGGCTTTAATTTCGTTTATAGGTCGCTGCTTTCGTCTCAGCAGGGATGCAGAGGGCACGGACATTTCCTGAAACTGCGCCATCTCTTTCTGTTCAGTATCTTCCAAGAGATGTAGGAAGAGAGTTTGTCTGGTTTGGAAGGAAGCAGGGGCTGTAGAGCTGCGGGCCTGCCTCGGCCAGGCCAGGCTCAGAGCCCGTGTGAGGCGTGGCCTCGCGGAGGGGCTGCAGAGAGGGTGATGGATTTTGGACAAAATTTATTGTTTCTTCTCTGAATTCTAGAATACCTTTTCCCTAATGTGAATGTAATCTATACATTTTAATAGTTAAACCCTTTTTGTACTCGTTTTTGAATAGGTAGTACATTCACATGGTACAAAGGGGGGACACAGTGAAATGCAAGCCTGCCTCCCCCCAGGCGCCCCGTCCAGGCTGAGCACAGCTTGTCGGGAAAGGGCTGCCTGTGGGACTGTGTGTTTTGTGACGTTGACGGGCGATCGTGAGGGACCCGTGGGTGCTGTTGCTCCACAGAAGTCCCCTTGGAGCCAGGAGAGCGGTGGGTGCAGGGCCCCTGGCACGTGGTGCTCGGGCGGGACAGCTAGGGGCGCCTGTGCACAGCCCTTCCCTCTGCGGGGGCAGCACCCGGCCTCCTTTCTCTCAGCTTCTTCCTTTTTCTTTAGTTTGCTTGAGCCCATCAGCTGACTTCCATCAGCCGGGAATGTCAGTTTATGGGGGGAAATTCTCTTGGTGTGAAACTGTATAAATCCCAAATCCTAGCAGTTTCAAGGCCCCTGTACATAAATAAAATATGTGCAGCCTCTGAAGAAACGGTTGGTAAGTTTAGAACTTGCTCCACTTCCACAACCGGAGAAGTGCCGCTGGGTAACCCCTTTCCTTAGCAGGACGCCGTTCGTGAGGTTCCTTTGCTGTCGCTTCCTCCCACTGACTCGCTCATTCTTTGGCTTTTTCATCTTCCTGGCTGAATATTAATGAAACTTGTGGAGAATTCTATATACATACACAACTAAAGAGAAACTTACTGTGTGCTCAGCACTATCTCACATGGTTTTCGCCCTTAAACAGTTCTCCTCGCCTTATTTCAATGAGAGCATCTAGTCTGAAAGGAGTGCAGCACATGTCAGCTGTTCCACTCTAAGGGTTCTTCCCCTCGCATCTCCTTCCCCCCTGTTACCCTGTCACCCTCTGGCTGACAAGTAGCATTGGAGGGTTCAGGAAACCAGTGACAAGCAACAGCTTCTGACGTGGGCTGTTGCCGAGATACGTACTTGCTTAGAAGGGGAGTGGTCCTGTTTTCTGGGGCAGGTGAGCCTGGCTGGCGCTGACCTGGAGGACTGATGGCTGTATGTTAGGTTTCCTTGACAGGGTGTTTCCATAAGTCACTTAGTTTAGGTTTGTGCTGTGGGTGGGCCACTGGTGTGGCCTCCGTGTCTGTGGGTCCCCATGTGGATGGCCAGGGTCAAGGGTCACATAAGTCAGATTACTGGCTCCAGGTGTTCTCATTCGTCTGTTTGCATTCCAACTTTTGAAAGTTAATCAGGGAGAATCGTGATTCTCTTGGTTCTCATGTACTAAGAAATGTTTCTAAAATGTAATTGAATGTGGTTTTATTTTTTTAAAATATATTTTATTGATTTTTTTACAGAGAGGAAGGGAGAGGGATAGAGAGTTAGAAACATCGATGAGAGAGAAGCATCGATCAGCCGCCTCCTGCACACCCCCCACTGGGGATGTGCCCGCAACCAAGGTACATGCCCTTGACTGGAATCGAACCTGGGACCCTTGAGTCCGCAGGCCAACACTCTATCCACTGAGCCAAACCGGCCAGGGCTGAATGTGGTTTTAAAGTGCTTCTGCAGGTAAGTAGAGAGAGAGCAATTGTACAGCCTCCAGCTTTGATGAGTGTCACAGGCCTTGTCACCAGTAGAATTACTGACTTGTATTGTAATGATAACGGATAGAAACGGTCCCCTGGAGACAGTAACAGGGAGCATTTGGTCAGTCTGGAAAGTAGCTTTGTTGCATGAGGAACGGATAAGAAATGCAGGGCAGCCAGTTGTGGAGCAAATCAGGACCAAAGCCTGGACCCGTCGAGGACTAGCTCAGGGCACAAGGCAAAACCAGACCCATCCGCCAGTGCGTCCGCTGAGATGGGCCCTGCGGCGGAGCCAGCTCCCACGAGGCGTGGCATGTCTGTCCTGTGGTCTGACAAAGAGCCGTGGAGACCACCTTCGACCAGATGCATGGGGGGGATTCATGCACTTTCCTCAGATTTGCAGAATGGAGCCTAAACATCGTCAGCCCCAGGCACATTTCAGATCTGCGCCTGCCTAGGCGAGGGGAGTGATGGGACGGTGAGGGCACGTGCTTCAGCACCAGTGCAGAGGGGTTTACCCGTCTGCCCAAGAGCCTGCTTAGTGTGTGCCAGGTGCTGTGCTGGACGCCGAATGCAGAGTGGACAGGTGTGACCCCGCCCTTTAGAAGCTCCCAGGAGAGGCACATGGATACAGTTACGCTGTAGCTTCCAAATCCCAGGAAAGGGCAGGGCAAGTAAAGTGCTGCCAAAGCAGGAAGGAGCCAGCATCCAGGGCAGAAAGGATTTAGTGAGCCATAAAGGACCAGGCCCTGGGGCATGAAGCCGAAGCCAGCCTCAGCAGGCGGGGTGGGGCGGGGCAGGCAGCATGCCGCAGTCCTGGGGTTGACAGGCACTTCCGTACATTGTGTTTGGGGAAACGGTGCTTTGAAAGCACTCCCCTGGGCCACAGATAGAGAGTGGCAAGGCGAAGCGGGCGGAGCTCTTGGACAGCGCGCAGTCTTCAAGGAAAAAGTGGTTACTGGCTCCGATTGGTTGCAGGTCGTCGTCCTGACAGTTCTTGCACGTGCGGCATGCAGCACACAAGGCTCCCTCATGCCTGGAGGCGGACGCAAAGCTCCGACCTGCATCAGGATTGTGGGCCGCAGCCATGAACTGGCTCACTGCTCCGCCTGTGATGTCATTTAGAACACCTCGGAATGTGTTTCTGTCAGAGTCTAGGAGGCTTCACAGAGGAGGTGGCGTTGAAGGGAGTTGTGAGTGAGCAGGAGTAAAACCCAGAGGCGCGGAATGCTAGTGGCAGCTGAGCCTAGAATCTGTCTTCTGGTTTATAAGCACGTTTCTTTTCCCCGGGCGCGCTCAACCTTGCAAGACTGCCGGCAGCTCTCACCCACTGCCCACATGGGGTGCTGGGAGGTGTGACCGTGCGTCTGTGGCCGCGATGACGTCTGCAGCTCTGTGCTGGACTAGAGCACTGGAGAGCCATCGGACTGCTGGGTCCTCTGTGCTGGCCATCAGGGAGCTTTCGCCGCCTTTGGAGAGGAACAGACCCTGCATCCTTTTTTGTTTTTTAAGACAAAGTTTATTAGGAGTCACAGAGGTAGAGATGGAAGGAGTGAGCGTAGGAGAAATGGGCTCAGGAAACAAGTCGGGCGAAACCAAGGGCCCTGGAGTTCAGGAGAAAGAAAACGGCCAGGAAACAGTCCCGGGAGCTGCTGACCCCCGTCCTCGTCCTCGTCGTCGTCGTCGTCCTCGTCCTCGTCCTCCCCCTCCTCCTCCTCCTCCTCCTCGCCTCCTCCTTGGTGTGTGTTGCCACAATAACAGTCGAGTCAGACTTTAAGTCACTCTGCCTCTCCCCTCTGTACCAGCCTCTGGGTCTACGTTTTTCTTT